TAAACAAATTTTCTTCATAGAAAGGAAAAAAATAGAAAAGTGAATTTTTTATTTTACGGAATTGCTAGAAATCAAAACACGCAGAGCTTCACTGTCTCTGCGGCGATGTAGCCAGTTTTATAGGACCAGTTTGTATGAAACCTCGTGCCTAGATTTTCTTCGCAGGATACAAGTAATTGAAAAAAAAAGTATAAAAAGAAAAAAAAACAAAAGACTCGACTACAATCCAAGCACTCGTGATTGTCTCCATTCATCACGTAGTGCGCTCGACTACAAACAAACCTAATCACCTGTTCCTAGAAAGTTCTCACCGTACTAGTTTAAATTTAATTTTTCATGGTATAAATTACATTATTGCACTTTATCTGGTGATAAATAAGGAGACAAGGACAAGGACAAGAGTTCCAAGAGTTCCAGTCAAGACCAATAAAAATAAACGACAGGGACAAAGACAGGGTGTTTTGGTTGTGTAAATAGTTCTCAAATTTCTCTGGAATTCATTGGCAAAGACCAAAGAAGTTGTGCAAAAAAATAACCTGCATCAAATTGAATTTCACTCATTTACTGATGAGATATGTCAAAAAGTAGAGAGTAATGTCGATGTATGAGCTTGAAGAAATCCGCATTTAAGAGCTACTGCAAAAAGATCTGGAACCTTTTCTCGAGAGGACTATCCTTGCAGTGAAGTTTTTGAATAAGGAGTTACTTACAGTTTTGTGGTATTCGCCTGATAAGAACGCATTTTGAGCATACTTCCTGCTTTTTTCAAAGGAAACGTGCTAAGGTTAGCCGTAAAATTTCTTCTTTTCTTTTACAGCATCAGGGCTGAGGGCATCGAACTTAGTTTTCATAAAGAGAAAGCCATTTATATGGAGTTTCAGTCGAGACCAAATGGAAAAGACGACGGCTTGCTCTTGAGCAAAATACGTTTCAATTCTTAGGAAAAAGTTGAGCTCAGGCCTGAACTCAAGCAAAAGTCGGTTTATTGGCTTCAAATTTTGCCTCTGCTTTCACTTAGTTTTCTTTTTTGAAAGAAGCTTGTCAGTAGGTACTAGAAAACAGCGGTATCTGCCTGCAAAAGCTGTTTAGCTTTTCCTTAATTTGTTCACTAATTAACAGCCGGGTATTTTTACTCATTAATTAATTGTGAATATACACACCGCACACGCCATCCCACGTCTTCCCAATTGTCAAAACAGTCTTACCGAGGCAGTACTTCAAGATTTCATAAGTATATCATATCTTTTCCAATCACATGTTCGAAAAGCAAAGAAAAGAAAAGAAAATTCTATAAAATGGCAGCAAGAATGCACACTATTCGTGAGATATCGCGCGTTGTGTGCAACGCACACATGAAGCCACCATTCGACTTAACGAAGTTACTATAGTTCCTATATCATTTCCTTTTTAGAGCGCAATTCAATCACGTTCATTACCAACGGAGATCAAAAGGCGAATAATGTTACTTTCTATTTTTTTAAATTTTCCCAAGTTGAAGAAAATACTAGGATGTTAGAGTTGTTAAACCAATATCTTTTTAGAATCATGGTCTTAGATGTAGCAAAATGAAAAACCTACTCTTAGGAGTTACAACTGCACATAAATCGAAT